TGTTGTAATGGTGTTTGTAAATAAGATCTCAAGTCCGCATCTTGTACAGCAATTAACAACTAAGAAGAATGTATGCAGTGTGTTAGTTATTGAAACTGTCCTAGCGATTTGATTTGAAACTGTCTCATTGCTATTTTTTATCAATAAAATTATGAAAAAAAAGCAAAGAAAAATATCCACTCAAGACCCCTCTCCATTTTTAATTTTAGTTGTGTTGTCGAGCTGTGGGAATTACCAATATATCTTGGATATTACTACTGTATCTAGTATATGTCTTACAAGTTTTAAAGGTGTTTTTTTACTTTTATAGAATAAAAAAGTAAAACACAAAAAATAAATAATAGCTTATTATTGATAAATGTCTTATGATTTTTATTCTCTTGATCGAGATTAACATAATGTCATATTTAGATTAGCTTACAGCAAATGCGTTAATTCAATACAATTATATTTTATTTTTTTCAGATTCTGGGATTGTCTAGCATTTGTTGCTTTTCTTATGGTATTCACCTTTAGTGGACTTCTAATTCCTGCAAAAACATATTTGTATATAACATTTTCTGACTTATATTATTCATTAAATATCTATCTCACCTTGCTGGTTTTCAGGTAAGAACAGCATTTGAATATCTTATTAGTAGGAAATTAGGTAAGTCTCAATTTTGTTTTTTAACCAAAAATATCTCATGTCTACACTGAATGGTTGACTCAGGCTTTTCAAAAATGATCAGCAATTTAACACTTAGTAATTTTCTCCATATTTAACTTGATTTAAACATAATCTATTATTATGAGGTATTTGCCATATTTTATCTTATCTTTTTGTTTTTGCTTCATATTACATAGTAATTTCTATGATTTAAAAATCGTAGTGGACAGCTGGCCAAATAGCTCAGCAGATTAAAGCACCTGCAAACAGGCACAGTGGCCAGGAGTTCATTCCCAGGGCCTGCAGTACCAGCGCCACCCCCTGGGACATGTTGAGACAGCAATTGAGACTGGGTGCTGTGGCATGCACCTGTAATCCCAGCTCTTGGGAGCCTGTACACATGCAGATCACTGTCAATCCAATCTAGTAGTGAGACCATGAACACCCTGTAGACTCTTCCCTAAAATACAAAAAATAAAATTAAATAAATAAAAATCATAGTGGAAAGAATTTTTAAGCAATCATAAGTGGAGAAATCATAGACTTTGTAAGTATCTTCTCTGCTCAGATAATTTCCATAGTCCCTTTTGCAATCTTAAGAGGCAAAAGAGCCTGCATATGCAAATGAAAAGGAAATGAAAGTAGTAAAAATCACAATAATCAGCACCTTTGGTCTTTAATCCCCATCTTTCAAGCTCTGAACATTCCAATTTCTAGGAAATTTAGTTGAGTTGTTAAAATCAAGTCAGCTAATGCCAAGTAAATAAACATTAGTCTCAAATTATCAGGCAAAATCCCCTCCATCCCCTGCAGGCCGATCAAGCTATGATGGCTGATTGGGGAGAACAGGAATGCAAAAACAGGAATGTTATGGGGCTAAAAAGGAATTATGAAAGAACTGCTTAATTTTGGACAGTTTTAGCAAGACTATAAAGATATAAAGAAACCTTTTCTCTTTATTTTAGGTTCATTGATTTTTTTTTATCTTGACTACAAATATATACA